AAAAAAAAAAAAACCCTACCACTACCACTACGCTCTTCAAAAACGCGTAATGGAAGGGTATCCTTAAGAAAAACGCATCAGACCTGGAGTTCAAAAGAAAAGAGAAAAAGAATAAAAGCGAAGTGTAATTATGAGACAAAACAAGAGGGTTCATCTTCCTCCCCGTAAAGCGTAGAATAAAAATAAAAGCCTGCATGCTTTGATGAATTTTTAAATTAAGCCAACGTGGATTCTAACTTTAACAAAACCACTCAAAAATAATGTTTCAGTTTTTTTGCCTCTTGACTTCCCCACTTTGCATCTCGCGCCTGCACATCATCCACAGTCTGATTTAATTAGTTAGAAAGAACAAAAAGCAATTCGATTCTAGCATTTCAAATAAGGAATTTCATGAAATCATATTCTAGAAATGAACATAAACCTCCTAGATACGTCGTAGGTTGGAGTACTAGAAAGCGCAGCAAGCAATATCTGCAGCTTCTCCGATGGGTAGAATAACTCCGATTTCGTTAACTATGCGCACTTGCCCAACAGAATGCTTAGAGCCTTAGACGGTAAAGGAAACCCAAATCTTCAAGTTCTTCAAAGTAGAAATTTAGATCATGAACTTTAATCCAAGCAGAAATTAGAAACCCAACAGGAGGCTTGGGATTGAGAGCATTTCCGGACACGAGAGAATGCCGTCGTCAACAACAGTGCGTGTAATGCAAATATTTATAGTGGTCTGTTTTTCAGTGTAAATTTACTTAAATATCCTCAATAAAATAATAGAAAAAATTTTATTAAGGATATTCAAGTTAATTTACATGATAAATTGTTAAAAAACACTTTTTATATTATTACAAAAATGCCATTATCATTAAAAAAAGAAAAAAAAAAAAACTGCGGCATGGTTCGATCTGGAGGCCCATGTGGTAAAATTGGAAATGGGCCTCATCACCATTACTTAACCGATGGCCCAAACGGTAAATTTGTATTATTTTATATAGTCACGGTTAAAACCCCCATTTAAGTCCCTTAACTTTTATGGTCTCTTATTAGTCCCTCAATTAAATAAATTTCCTTTTTAGTTCTTAATCTTAATTCTTTTTTGGCTTCTTTTAAGTTCCTACAATAAATTTTTGATGATGTGGCAAGCTAATCAAGAGATGTATCTTTTTTTTTTTTTATTAAAAAAAAAAAAAGGTTACATGGAAATTTTGGTTCCTACAATTTTAATTTTAAATATTTTATCTTTAAATTATTTAAAGCAATTTTTAGTTCTTTAACTTTGAAAAATACACTATTTTTTGTCTATCTTCCAATTAAGTGATAATGTAGCCATTAACTAATCTAAAAATCCATTTTCCTTCAATTTTGTGGTGACATGTCCATAATATACGAGTCTCACTAGAAATATTTTGGGGGCTCCTTGAATCTACATAAGTTAATTTAATGATCTGTTATTATCATATTTAGGTAGTTGGCCAATTAAATTTAAACAAAAGGTGTAACAATTTATGTAATAATTTATAAATAATCTCTTTGTCCCAAAATAACTACTCTGTAATTTTTTTATTTTGAGTTTGCCCTAATTCTAAATTAATTGTTGTTTTTCAATTTTGTAAGGTAGATAATTTTTTTTTCATATTTTAACCATATCATTATTTATTTACTTTAATTAATCATCCTATCATAAAAAACTTATCTTTATATTTTAATTCCTTTTTAAAAATAATATAACTAAATATATGAAATTTCTCTAATTCTTTAATTTGAGAAAAAAAAAGTTAAAAAACAAAGATTTACTTTGGAACAGATAAAGTAATAAGACAAAACAATTCCTAAAGCCATGACAAATCGACAATAGGAGTAGATCATAATAAAACAAATTTCAAAATAATTGTATTTTTATTTTAAATTAATTATTATTTTTAAATTTTTAAGATAAATAAATGTTAATTTTTTACTTTAATCTTATAGTTATCCCTTTAATTATTCATCCTATTAAAGTCTCAATTTATCATTTACTTT